GAGCAGGACTCTGTGGTCTCGAACTACGGGTAGAAAGCGTGGTAGTGCTAAGTATACTGCTTGCAGTTCGAGCCGGTTGATATGGTAGTCCCGAAACTAATGCGGGGGCCATATCCTTGGGCTTGTTCGTCCAATAGATGAGGAGGCATTTGTTACCAGAGTCATACCTGTGGCGAGTGGGTCCCCTGTCCGAGGCCAGTGACAACCACCAGGGCAGGGCTTCCTTCACCTGGTCTGAGATCAAAACCCACCTATCTAGTTCCCATAGGAGAGCTCGGTGTTATAACAAGCGTTATACCAGGCGGCTGCGTAGTGCGGCCTGGGGAATAACCCTTCGAACTGACATCATCATTCCGCATTAGTTCTCGGAGTGACACTGAGAGAACGCTGACTAGGCCTTCGGCTAGGCTGCTTAGCGCTAAGCAACACGCTTGAAATAGCTATACCAAGCCTACCTCTGTGTCAAAACTCCATGCCAAGGGACACCAACTGCGCGTTGGGTCGAGATGGGACTTGCCTTGCGGGAGTCCCCTGGCAGTGCCCAATAGGGGAGACACTGATGGGGGACATGGAGATTTCAGCGGTATTCCGTAAAAGGATATCACCACCTGGAAAGGTCCAGGGATCGGTCACCCGCTGTCTCCAAACCGGGCTACATCGGCGCAATCTGTGTACGACAGGGCTATGTGGCCCTAGGTTCGACAGTTGCGAGGGGGTGCTCTCTTCTCCCATGAGGTGAGTTCCCCAAGGCCTGAAGTAGTCACTAAGTTGTGACCTGGCCACTCGCCGAATACATGCCTTGCCCCCCCCCTTTGCAGAGGTAAGCGTCAAACACGCTTCCCCCATGGAAGGGCATGAGCGCTTGCTTCCTGGCTGACTCTGGCTAGCGAACGATGCCCTAGGGCGTTGTGTTTTCTGTGCTTGGGATGCCCTCCGCTTGCCCTTGGCAGGGCCAACTGGCTAGCGGATTCGATCTGAACCCGTCTGGTTCATTGCACTCCTAAGCCTCAAGACTGTACCCACCACTCCTTGAACAAAGAGGGTGGAAGATGTCCAGTCTGTCGCCTGACTCAGCTTGCTGGCGAAAACACACGTGTCTAAGCCTGCGTCTCGTTGCCCAGTAATGGCCCTGGCTAAGAGAGCCAGGTGACACTAGGGGATGGCACACGTAGATGTGTGGTGGCCCACCAATAAATGTGTCACCTGGTCTAGGAGGCTGGTGCGTTCTGCCTCCGAGGTCTCAGAGTCCTGGGCGCGCACAATAATGCGCTCAAGCAACTCTGCCCTCAGGGCATGATGGATCGTCTGAGACTGAGCTGGCGAGAATGCCCATGGAACGCGGCTGTCCCCCTTTACCCGGTCTGCCCAACGGAAAATTCGTGGTACCTGGGGTCTGGGGAAGGACCCTTGGAACCCGGTTGGGGGTATTTTGGTCTCATCCCACAATTAACCTCAATTAAGTTGGTTCTCTACCACTTTCCACTATTGTATTGGTCAGTGCTGAATAGAATTTACTTCTCAAGTGGTTAGTTGATTTGCAAAGAAATAATCAAAGAAAACTTAGAAAGAACTCCTGTGTGCTGAGAGTATTGGAGACACAGTAAAAATTAATTCAAAATTACTTGTACTTGAGATACTGATGGAAAAGCTAAAAACTAATTATAGTTAATTAGTTGCAAATTTGAGTGTAAAACTAATAAGGTCTGCTGCGCAATGTAACAGACCATCTATGTACCAAGTTTCATTGAAATATGACCAGAATCAACAAATTATTTTGCTAATTAGGGAATTAATAATTAATATGAACAGATTTTAACCTTGAACTAATCAGATTTGTACATTGTCCTAGTGTATTTTTGTATCAAGTTAGATTGAAATGGAATAATTAGTACTTTAGATATCAGTGTGAAAGCTTAAAATTGGTTAATCATGCAAATTAGGTAATTAATGTGTACAGATTTTCACCTAAAATTAATCAGGTCTGTCTACTGTCCTAGAGCATTTTTGTATCAAGGTACATTGAAATGTGATGATTAGTACTTGAGATATCAGTGTGAAAGTTGAAATTGATTAATTATGCAAATAAGGTAATTATTATGTACAATTATTCACCCTAAATCTAATCAGGTCCCTGCATAGTCATAGAGGATCTATGTACCAAGTATCATCGAAATGTGATGATTATTACCTGGGATATCAGTGTGAAAATTAACTAATTATGCAAATTAGGTAATTAATATGCACACATATTTATCCCAAAAAAATCGATCTCTGCATAGTCCTTGAGTATCTATGTGTCAAGTTTCATTATAAGGTAATTGCTCACTACTTGAAATATCAAAAGCTGAAAATTAATTAATTATGCAAATTAGGTAAATAATATGTACTGATATTTCGCTAAAAATTATCAGGTCTGTGGAGTGTCCTATGATATCAATGTACCAAGTTTCATTGAAATGTGATGATTAGTACTTGAGATATCAGTTGAAAAGCTTAAAATTTACTAATCATTATGCAAATTAGGTAATTAATTTGCACAGATTTTCACCTAAAACTAATCAAAACCTGGCATCAGTTCAGAGCAATTATGAACCATGTTTCATAAAAAAAACAATGAGTGGTTGTTTAGATATCAGAGGAACAGTCATGGAACAGCTAAAAATTAGATAATTATCATGAAAATTAGGTAATTAATATGCACAAATTTTTACTCAAAATTAATTAAATCTGAGCATAAGTTCAGAGCATCCATGTACTAAGTTTCATCAAAATCTGAGTAGTTCTTTAGATATGAGTGGAACAGTCATGGAACAGTTAAAAATGAGCTAATTATCACGCAAATTAGGTAATTAATATGCATGGATTTTTAACAAAACCTAATCAAATCTGCGCATTGGCCCAGAGCATCTATGCACCAAGTTTCATCAAAAACCGATGTATGGTCCTTGAGATATCAGTGGAACAGACGGACACGGACACACACACACACACACGTACACTCACACACATACAGACAAACTACCTGCAAAAACTCCCATTGTGTGTTTCGCACACAGGAGTCAAAAAGTAATAAACATCCTCCTTTCCATCATTACAAAGTTTATATCACCCCATCACCTTTATAATTTTCCCATCCTGTTTTATTCCCTTTATTGCATTTGACCTAACTTTAAAGAGTGAGATGCCATGTTGATCAAGGGGATCCTTTATATAATTTTCTTTTTTATTGTTGTGTTTAATCCAACCATAGTGCTTTAGGGATTTTATGTCTTAAATAGTTTCAACAAATCGCTTTATTTCATTTTCTTCACTAATTTTATAGAAACTTTTAATTCAACTAATATTCTGTGGTCTTTTTAGGCCATAAACATGATCCATACCATTTTGAATTAGAATATTGTTGATATATTTTGGCCAGTTCCAAGCAAGTTTAGCCTTGTTCTGATATGATTCATGTAGTTCAGAGAAAACTATTTTGGTCCACCTGGTATCATCTTTTGTAATCTGTCCAAATACTGTATTCGTGATTTATCATGAATAAAGTTGATGTCTTGCCATCCTAAATCTCCCAATATTGCTGGGCATGCTACATTCCTATTAACTTTAAAGAGAAACTTAACAAATTGATACTGGATGCTTTTAAGTTTGTTTTTATTCACTGTACTTTCTGACAGCCAAACAATAGATCCATAGTTAATTGATGGCATGATTATATTTTGCCACAGAACATCACCATATTCAAATCTAGAGGAAGGCGCTTTTTAACATTATCCAATATTATTGTCTAAAGATGTCTTATGATTTATATGACTGTCGCATACGACTTATTTACCACTTCCGTGTCACTGAGAATGTTCTAGAACCGTACTGTGTCTGGGTGGAATATTCTAGATTTTTTTTTAGAAACAGGTTGAATAGGTAATAGAACACTGTAGGAGGCAATAGAAGGTAATGCAACATTCTAGAAATTTGTAGTAAGTTCCAGACTCATTATGTATGCTGATGTAATGGTCTATTTATAGACAGTGGGGGTATATAAAGGGGAGTTGTTCAGCACTGAGTTCAGATCGGAGATCTCGTTGAATTGTATTGGAGTTTAAGTATCTAGTTATCGGAGATTTGGAGTTTTACCGCGTTATTGTACTTGATGTTTGCAGAGTATAATAATACCAGTACCAGTTGAAACCTCATCTGTTGGCTCCGTGTTCGTATGTTATCATCCTCGCAAGGGAAGTCTTTGTTACTGTTGCCATTTTGGTATTTGAGCCATCACACCTGTACTATACCAATTACGGTAATATTACGTTGCGTATGACATTGTCGCGCCTTCATGCAAATCTATTGTAACTGTTATGTTGGTTTATGATTGATTTACTGTATGCTAATATTTCCTTCAATGATTTTGAAATAATGTATTTGTATGTTTTAGTTTCTTCAAGTGTCAAATTTCCAAATTGTTTCATTTTTATGTAGCTTCTTTCCAAAATACATTATCTGGGATTTAGATTGATTAAAGCTTAATTTCCATTGCCCTGCAAATGTTGATGCAATATCTAACATATTTTGCAGTTCAACTACGTTATTTGCTATGAGGACTATGTATACTGGTGATATTTATCGTATCATGGTTACTTCCTTGTTGTCGCTTTCTATTCAACAAAGATTGCCAACGGTGTAAATACATGTACATGTTATGAACCCATGGAGAGCAGAGTAACCTGACAATATTTACAGTGTGAACAGAAATGTTTATAGAAAACTATAAACCACTAAAATGAATCCGTGAAATGGTTAGGTTCACATAAGGTTATAGCTGTTGATACACGTCATCATGACGTCAGCTCTTGATACGATCTCGTTTATAATACTTTATTGTATAACAATATAGTTAAAATTATTATGAACAGCGAAATTAAAGCGTATATGTGTACACAAACAATCGTTGCGATACATTCCACAAAGCATTCTGAACAATAACGATCAATACAGCCAAAGCTTACCTGTCACAAGACAACGATCCCAAAGGAAAGCCCTTGGTTTAAGTCGTCAGTGGTATTTGTGTTGACGTTGAAATCGGAAAGAGCAGTTGCCAAGCGTACGAACTTTGCAATATACTGATTAACATCGTAGTTCTTTCGTCAAGCATTCGAACACTATTTCATTCACGGAAAACGGAGTCAAGTTCATAGAACTAAATGCCCCAAAAAATAACAGAAACGCACACACAACAAAACTTTCTGTCGTTCTTCCGGGTTCATTAACCAATTGCAGCATTTGTAGTGTCATTATTCTAAAAAAAAATGAACAGTGCTAGACATTCTTTCATGTTTCAGAATTTTACGTATTATTTTTGATAAGAGTTCCTCATGGTGCCTTCACCCATAATCTTAATCCTGTCCCTCGACTATCCTCCCTAATTTTAATTGTATATGCTTCTCTTCAGGACACGCATCGTTATCTGGAGGGGCATACACAACTGCATTCGAGCTGGAATGCTATGGTCATGATTCAGGTCAGGGGTGGGAGCCTTAGGGAACTTTTTCCTATTCCATTATATGATCCAGAAAACAGGCGATCAAACTAATGTGTCAAGCGTATTTTGTGCTATAAATTTACTTTAGAAAATGAACATGAGAAACTTTGGGGGCGCTGTTCAAAATCAAGTTTCCCGGAAGTAGCAAGACTGGGGTGCAAAATATTCCTGTTAACATGTCAGTTTGCTGATAGTCGATAGAAAGAAATATTATTATTTCGATTACCGGGAATGCCAAATAATTGTAAGCATTGTATGATTTTCATTTCCATTATTCGAAGCATCGCGATGAGTGGCTTTCACGGTATGTGAAATTCGTAGCAGGTAGCTTTCGTATGGAGTAGGGCTTTGTTGTAGTAACTGGTCCATACATCGGAATTTAGAATTAAAGTTTGATGTGTCTTTAACAACTAGTGCTATTCTGGGAGGTTACACACCTATATTCCGACACCCCTATGTTCCGACATCCATATATTCGACACGATCGACGTTCATCCAATAAATTCTGAGCCGGCCAGAATGTGCCATATGAAAATATGTACGCTAGTGGTCGGAAGCCAAATACAAATACCCCCTCCCCATGGTAGAACAAAGCAACCTGTTTTTTCTCTGTTCGACGCGATCAGTCTAATTACAGAATACTGGTTGTACAATTAAAATTTAAGACAAAGTCAAATTTACATGCCATAAAATAGACATAAGCATAGGAATTAAGGTAGAGATGCACTTTATTTGTGAATTTCAATCAAAAATAGTTTTTTTTTTCGTTTTTTATATAGATTTTTATCTAAAGAACATTCTGTGAAAATTTGACCAATGAATTCTTATTGGAACGCCGTTAAAATTGCTGTTTATTTTCTGGTTAAAAATAAAAAAACACTCACACGTGGCAATGTTTATGTCCAATTGCCTAATTTGCATGAGTAACCAAATAACAAGACCTTTGATTGACAATATGCAAATCGTACGGTGGCCCACAGGTGCCACGGCAATGTCTTTCTTGGTGGGCAAAACTTTAAATTCACAGGACAAAACTTATTATTTTAGGACGAAACTACAATTTCTGTAGTCAATACTTTAATATTGCAGTACAACATTTTTAATTAGATGGACAAAACTTATTGTTTCAGGACACAATTATATTTTCAGCAGAGTAAACTTTAAGATTGCCGGACAAAGCTTAATGTTTAAGGACACAATTATATTTTCAGCCGAGTAAACTTTAAGATTGCAGTACAAAACTTAATATTTCAGGACAAAATTATAATTTTCAGTAGACGGAAGTTTAAGATTGTAGGACACAATTATATTTTTAGTGGACTGAACTTTAAGACCATCATGGCATAACTCTTTTTTTGATGGTAAAACTTCATGTCATAACATGCGACTTTCCACATTTCAACACTTTACACGACGGAAGTTGAGTATTTTCCCCAGAATCCTTGAACATCCAGTGTATCGCCATTTTCTTTATCAGCTTACTATAGTAGTATATAGTGCATAGTGGTATTTACTTGAGATCAGTTTCATGGGATCATGGCAAACGCGCAATTACATGTAT